CGCTTGTAGCAACCTTTCGAAGGTCATCCGCTAAAAGCGATGTTCTAGTTTCATCCATGGTTAGAGTATCACCCACAAGCATCAATGTTTGAACAAGATTTTCATAGGATTTCGGTAATGAAAGCAATAACATGAGTGCTTGGTCTTCCTCATCTACCTTCACGTCAATATCCTTCAAGTCTGATATAATCCTATCAAACTTATTAATATACTCCCGGATTGAGGTGCCTTCATCCATCTTGCATGTATACAATTTGGATTTTAAGTAGATCCTATTTGTTAGAGTTTTTGTCATAAAATTAGTCTCTATCTTTGTCCACACTCTAGCGGCTGTTGCTTCTTCATTTACCAAGAATGCAATGTCCCTCTCAAGGCATAAGATTATAGCTGCTCGTGCTTCAAGATCTAACTCTTCCCAATCCTCATCCTTCATGTCCGCGGGTTTTTGTTCTTTTCCCGCCAATGTCTTATGCAACTTTTGTGATACAAGCAAATTTTTCATTTGCATCCTCCAATAGAAAAAATCATTTTTACCATTGAATTTTTCGATTTCATATTTCCCAACTTTAACCGTTCCACTAGTAGATGCCATTATAATTAATTTCAAAAAATCAAAAATTTTATCACTTAAGATTTTGACGTCGGCTCTGATACCAATTGTTAGAGCTCTCGCAGCGGAAATGTGACTTCTACTAGATAATATGAAATCGATACCTCACAAAGATAAACAATATATGTGATAGACAAATAACCACTATGAAGGAAATAATAAATATAAGAAAAAAACTTTCTTAATGCTAAAACTTTTGACGTGAATAAAAATGAATAATTTTTTTAAAATCTATTTCTACATTGTGATTCTGCATATTTATAATGAATATAATGCTAATTAAACAATGATTCAGATTGTTTCTCTAACAATCACTAATATTGTTTCTTTTAATTAGCAAATTAAAAACTATACAAAAGGTAATCGTCCCTATTACCCTCCTTATATTTCTCTCCTCCTATTAGTTCCTTAATTTTCTCACAGATACTTAGCATGCTTTTTTTCTTGAAATTGTTATTCCATAAAAAGGTTGATAAAAAAAAAAATACGAAAACGAACTAAATTAAGTATTCGTGAGTAATTTGTCGGAAATTTTTGTATTTTTGGGTTAAATGTCGCCTGGGATAATTTTATTTACCAAATTGTCACGTAGGGTAAACTTTTTTTACCAAATTGTCGCCGGAGTCATTTTTTTACCAAATTGTCGCTAAAGGTCATTTTTATTTACCAATCTGGTCAATTGACCTTTCGTTGTGTGTGTGTGTGTGTGTTTTTTTTTTTTTTTTTTTTTTTTTTGGGGGGGGGGGTTGGGGGTAGTAAACTATTAAAATTAATACTACCTATAATTTACCTAACAAAGAAAAAGGATGACTACCTTCTGTTTACTTTCTCTACTATTAATTAGATATCAAATGAAATTGTATGAGGCTTGACTCTCCCTCAATTAAGTCGCTTGGTATAGGCGTCGTTGGAAGCGCGCCTATACGTTAAACATGTGTGAATATGCTTGACACTCATAGAAAGTGGGAATTGAGATATACGATTAGGGACAACCATAGGCAACAACGATTGACCTGTGAAGGTTACACCTCATTTACAATCCATGGAATTACTAACTCCATATGGTTCGGAACCACGAAAGGAGGATCGGGGATGATGGTACGAAGTGAGTCCTGGAGTCACATTCGCCCGTATTGGCCTCTACTCGATTCTTATAGTGAAAAGTGATTCCTGCGATCTCTAAGGCATGCAAATAAAGATTCAATTTAATCCAAACTATTATTATGCTAAATTTGTTGAATATTAATGCAACATATAATTCTAAAGTATTTATGATCACTTAATTAAATAACAAGATTAAGAAGGAACCTAAACCGGTTGTTCAAATATCTTATTAATCGTGATTTTCAATTACATATTCCCTTTAACATGTAATATGGTGATCATAAAAATATAATAAAATAAACATTAATATGGAAACAATTTAACAATAATAACGTTAGTCAAATCAAATAACAATAACCCTAATCATGATACTAGCAACAAGAATAATAATAATAATAAGAGTAATTAAGTGATTAATTACCCTTTTCCAAAAAAAAAAAAAAAAAGTGATTAATTACCCATTTTACACATTTCCTTGAATTGCTACATCATGAATAAATTGTTGGTAACTTAAATAAAAATATAAATAAAATGGAAATAAAATTAAATAAAAAGTAGAGTTGATTTGGTCCAAACCCTCAGTCAATTGTACTTTTCACGCCTTGGTTTAAGGACGGAACCTCGGGTGTTGTATGGACTCTTTGGAGTGCTTAAGGGAAGTATAGTGGAAGATTAAGGAAGGCTAGAAATTAGGTTTAAGCAAGAGAGAGAAGAGAAAAGGTTTTGATGTATAAGAGAGGAAGAGAAAATGATTTGGTGTAGGGAGAAAGAGAATGAATTTTGGTGCCCCAAACTACAGAAATGAGAGAGTATTTATAGAGGAAACGAATAGGGGAATGCATGGAACCATAGAAGAGATACGAGCCGTGGAAAAAACCTAGTTGGGCACCGTGACACGGTGCTGTCCACTCTGGCACGCTACAGCACACTGCATCGTGTCACGGTGTACAATTCTGCCAAAAAATGTGTCCAAATTCATTTTACCGCGTGAGAAAAACGCGGAATAGACACGGGAAAGCACCGTGAAATGGTGAAGAGTACCGTGTCACGGTACAAGGCACCGTGACACGTCAGCTTGTACCGTGACGCGGTGTTTAAGGTGTTGCGCGGTAATTCCAATTTTTACGCGTTTTTAAAACTATGATTACTTTTGATCCGTAACTTGGAATAAAGCATATAATATATCGTTGGAAAACCTATCAAGTCTACTTTCCAACCCACTTGGAATAAGATCAAAATCTTTTGTAGATTTTAAGATATGGCCATTTTTAGTGAAAGGGTGTTAGTTTTGGGCCGAGTTTAGTGTTTTGCTCACATCTTCTTCATTTTAAATCGGAATTGGGCTTATGATATACCGTTGGAAAGCTTATTTCAAGTTCACGGGCTATCGAACCAAATAATATTTGGATCAAAATTATATAGCCACATTTAGGCTTCGCTCGAATTGCGCCTACGTTAAGCATGTTGTGAATATGTTTGACACTCATAAGAAGTGGGAATTGACAAACGATTAGGGACAAGGAAAGTAGGGAGCCGCCAACAAGTTTTTAAGGAACTTGTAAACCGTTCACTGATCATTTAAGGCAACCACAATTAAGGGACAACGAAGGCAACAACGATTGACCCGTGAAGGTAACACCCCATTCATAATCTATGAGATTACTAACTCCATATGGTTCGGAACCACGAAAGGAGGATCAGAGATGATGGTACGAAGTGAGTCATGGAGTCATATTTGGCCGTAATGTCCTCTACTCGATTCTTATGGTGAAAAGTGATTTCTGCGATCTCTAAGGCATACAAACAAAATATTCAATTCGCTCCAATCTATTATTATGCTAAATTGGTTGAATATTAATGCAACGTATAATTCTAAAATATTAGTGATCACTTGATTAAACAATAAGATTAGAAAAGAACTTAAACCGGTCGTCCAAATTATCTTATTAGGCGTGATTTTCAATCAAATATTCTCTTTAAACATGCAATATGGTGATCATAACAACAATAGAATAAACATTAATATTGGAAGCAATTTAACAATAATAACGTTAGTCAAATCGAATATAAATACACCTAATCATGATACTAGCAATATTAAAATAAAATAAGAGTAATTAAATTAATTAATCACTCACATTCCGCGCGTTCCTTTAAATTGCTACATCATGAATAAATTGTTAGTAACTTCAATAAAAAAATATAAATCAAATAGAAATTAAATTAAATAAATGTAGATTTGATTTGGTCCAAACCCTCAGTCAATTATACCTTTCATGCCTTGGTTTAAGTGTAGTACTTCGAGTATTGTATGGATTCCTTGGAGTGCTTAAGGGAAGAATAATGGAAAAATAGGGAGGCTAGTGTTTAGGCTAAAGAGGGAGAAAGAATGATTTGATGATCAAGCTTGTTGAAGGCGGTGAAAGGTTGTTCATCATCGGGTTTGGTGTTTGGGAGACATTTTTAGGTGTCTACACCACGAAATCAGATTAGCTCGGTTTTGTGATGTGAACACGAAAAGAAGAAAATAAGTAATGGTTTGGGAAAATGGGCTAAGAATTAGGTTAGTTTATGAAATGTATTGGGACTGAATATGGATTTAAGTACTCCAAGATCAAATATTCAACCCGACTAATAATGGCGGTGAAAGATTGTTCATCATCGGATTTAGTTTTGGGGAGACATTTTTAGGTGTCTACACTTGGGTAGGCTAATTGATGCTTTCATGCCGTGTTTTTTCCAGTTTATTTATAACCGAATTCCACCTTACTTACAGGAAGAAATTGGAAATAATGATTTTAATTGTTTTCTTCTATTACGGAGTAATAAAATAGCGAAACTTTTTTTCTAGACTTTTATTCCATTATTGATGTGATTACTCAATTAAGTTTTTAGATATGAATATCATAAGCTTTAGGATAAGGGGACTGACTGATATTCTTGAAACCTTTTTCTTTTTTTCTTTTTTTTTTTTTTTGGTTGCAACATGTAAGTATCTTGGTCCAGTCACAAAATCCTAGCTTTGCTCTTATTACTATGTACATTTTCTATTGGTTAGGCTAATATTTCAGTTATATTATGATGATGTAGAACCTTAACTATATGGTGACAGCTGGAAATCTCATTTGTTGATTTTGTTTAATTTTTTCATCATTTGTAGGTATATCTGTCACTTATCATGGAAGCAATCTGGAGGATAAAATTTTCAGGATCTTTTCAGTTATCTTGTGTCATTATGAATAGATAGAGGAGGGCTTATTGGTTTTTTTCCTGTGGTTCTATGCAGGTCATTTTATTTATCCATTTTTGAAATTTATTCTGAGAAAGGAAAGGGTGAAAAGTTGTCAGATTTGTCTCCAGATGGATCTGATATCTACTTGCAACAATCTGCTGTTAAAGGCCTTAAAGAGGTAAATTGTCTGTTTTAGTAATCCATTCACGCGGTGCTGAATTATATGACTCTTTTGTCTTCTTTGATGCATTTAAATGGTTTATGTACTTAAACAGGTTTTAATCAAAGACGTTGCACAAGCAGAATATCTATTAAACCATGCAAAATCAAAACGTGTCACTGCAATGACAAACTCTAACAGTCAATCCAGGTTGGTGAAAATAACGTCACTAGTTTTGGGAATTGTTTGGCTAGCCTTGGCTTTGGAGTTCTTGTACCCATCTCTGTTGCTCATATGTATGTTCACTATATTGTAGCCGCTCACAATGCATAATTAACATTCGCTGTACTGTTGATGAGACTGTGGGGAGGAGTGAATCTATGCCTAATGAAGCTGTATTGACTTTTGTTGATCTTGCTGGTGCTGAAAGAGAGAAGAAAACTGGAAATAAGGTGAGCTACTGTATTTTGGAGCACATTATAAAAACTATAAATGACAAGAGAATATTGTGTTGTTTATTTGCTCAAAACGTTATTGCCAAAGCAGTAATTTTTTGTGTGTGCCTTGATGAATTACTTTACACTGAATATTATTCAACGTGACTTGTATCTTTGTTGTAATAGTGATTTCTTATTTTGTTGTGTATGCCTGATGTTAGAGTACTGTGCTGATGTTTCTTTGTATGCAAGATCCTTGTTTCTTGACTACTATTATTGAGTTGACAACAACATATCATAATAAATATATATTGACCTAAGATATAAGCCAAGCGAAAGTCATGACAAGGCTAGAATTATTCTATTTTGTACTTCGGCATATGTGTCAAAGTGTATTTTGGCCTTTGGCATAGAAATGCCTACCAAATTTTTATAGTTTATGTTGAAGTGGGTCTTGGATTCTCTGGTAGAGACTAAAAAAACAGCAGTGCATACATACTATATCAATGTAAGTTGCAAAAGTCTTTATTTATGATAAAAAAAAAACTGCTGTAACAAAACTGTAAAGATGCTTTATGCAATAATGCTCATTAATGTGGTTAATTCTGTGTTGATAGTGTACTCTATCCTTTTGCAGGGTGGAAGGCTACTTGAAAGTAATTTTATCAACAACACATCAATGGTATTTGGGCTGTGCCTTCGAGTATGTTGTCTGAACTTTTTGCTTGCATTCTTTGTGGTTTCTTACTTTCTTTAATATTCCACATATCTTCCCCTGCACATTGACCAATTATTAACAAATTAACACTTAAGCTACTAGTAGCCTTTGTTATCTTTTTCTGTATATCTGCAAGAAGATTCTATTGAAGTATTACATTTATTCTGTGGGTATTGTCATTCTTATGCTTGGTGATTTTGCACTTCTATCATGTTTGCTAGTCATTATTGGAGCATCAGAAGAATCCCAAGAAACCTATGCAGAAACACTTCCAGAGCTCATTGGTAACTCTCATTTTTACAACCTTTTGCTTTATTATAGTTACACACTTTTTTTTTTTATAAGATATAGTTGCACACTTTTAAATCAGCTTTAACTGTATATTTCTGCTTTTATAAAGTGAGTATCTAGATATTCACAAATCATCAGTTTGTGAATGATAAATGAGAATTATCTCCGGGAAAGGACAGTATTCAAATTGTTTGTACTCCGTATATTTTTGTTCTAGACTCTCTGTGTTCTATGTGACTATGTGATAGAATACTAACCTTTCTTTGATTTTTAAAAGCTGACTAGGTATTTACGAGATTATATGGAAGGCCGGAAGCGTATGGCTTTGGTATGTCATCTCAATGTCCAATGTCTATATTCATGTTCTCCTTTATCCCTTGAGAGTTTGTTAAAAAAAAGGCTGATTGCGAATCAAAAACGTTAAATTGATATTGTTACAGTCTAATACCAGATCAACAGCTATACTACTTGATTCAAGTAACATTTGGCTGATCTTGATTATTTCCAGATTTTGACAGTACGACCCGGGGAAGAAGATTACTTTGATACATCCTTTCTCCTTAGACAGGCTTCACCATATATGCAAATTAAGTAAGCATTAATAATTTTATTTGCACTTAATGCATCATTACATGGTATTTTTAATTTATGGTCTAAATCTCTCTCTCCCTATTATTCTCTTAAGGTTCTGTGACGTGGAAGAAACTTCATATTTACCCCGCAATAAGAAGCGCCATCAGACTATTGGCAATGAGCAGAAGAAAAGAACAAAGTTGACTAGGACTGAATCTGCTGTTTGCAGGGTATGGAAATTTGTTCTGAATGTTGGTTGCGCTTATATCTGTATGCTCTACATATTGCTAAATGTGGAGAGCCTTTTGTGAATTGTTTCTATTTATCAATTCATTATATTCTCCAAAACAAAGAATAAATGTGTGCTCATGAACTTAGTCACAAGGCAAAAGAACTGCTGAATTATGGGTGCATCTTTAAGTTGACTTCTGCCTTGTTTAAATTAGTAAGTGAAAATACAGTATTCACAAGTTAGTCAAAATAAATATTGTGTAGTCTAAAAGTGGATGGACGACTAAACTAGTTCTGGTAAATCAAAATTCACACATGTAGTAAGGAGGTATTCTGCCTGAAGGTTATCTTTGAACCTATAGATGTCCTTATTTACGTTTGATACTGCTATTATTGCTGTTTATTATTGTCACTACTTCTTTGATCATACAGAACAATGATTGAAGTCTTTATGTTTCTCATTTGAGTCATATAAGTCATTTGTTCAATTTAAGCAGCTTTTAGACTATAAATATGTGTAAAATCATCGTCGTCCATCGCCATCATCATTATTCTTTACTCGTTTATCGTGGTTGTCCAGCTTCAAATCTTGACTTCAGATTTTCTTGATTCAAAATCCTGTAGCACGAAATTATTTGACAGATGAAGACGTGCATTAACTCAACTTTCTGATTGCATTGCTCAATATGTACTCTTGATGCTTGATGTCTTGGTCTCCATAGGTTTATCTTGATTGAACATAATCTTGCCTTACTTTTTAATGTCTTTTTAACCCTTTTGTAGAATGATGCCGAGACGACTCATAGAGATTTAGAGGACTCCCCCAAAGAAGGTCAGTGAGAATGCATGCTCCCATTATCCCATATTTGATATTTTATTGAGCTCTCTCTCTCTCTCTGCATTGTTCTGCACTGAAGCCACTCTATCAATTTCAGAACTTAAAACTTTAGACAACTCTTATGGAAACAAAAGACCTTTACAAAGAGTGGATGAGAATTTACTTCCCAAGGTTGACTCTGCTAATTCAAACATATATAGGCAGTACTATGTCATGCAAGGATTTGCCAAGGCTCTGTGGTCTGTGTTGAAGCAGTATAAGGAGAGAGTCAAGGTTAAGATGCTTACTTTAACACTTTTTATTAGTAGTTTGCTTGTAATGCTTTCATGTGGCCTTAACCCCTCTTGCATTTGTATTTATTGGAAACAGACCATGGAAAAAGATATTGATATTCTGAAAGAGAATCTCAGGATCGGAGATGCTAAATATCTCGCGATTGAAAAAGAACTGCTCGATCTAAAGTCTCAACGTTCATATCAAAATCAAGGCCCTGGTGTGGCTAGTTATTCTATTGGAGGCCCTAATTTGGAATCCAGATTCAGTGAGGAAGAATTGTCAGATACTGTAAAAGTAGTTTCTGCAGACATAAAAGGGCTTGCAGAGCTTGCAAATCTTGAATGCAAGGAAATTACAATCTTGCATACATCAGGGGAAAAATGTACTACTGTCCATGACTATGAACTAGAGGGGGTGACAATGCCAGAAGAAAAACATGAGTACTCTAATTCTGAATGCAAATCTAAGAATTTATCCTGGGAAAAAGATGTACATTTTGAAGGTGAAGTTGGTGACCCTTTATCACCAGAAGCAGGGTGTCAGTGTACTGATTTTGAGGGAAGACCACCTGGAAATTCTAATCAGGATAAGGAAATTCGGTCTGGATCAATAAAAGAAAGCCAAGGGTCTGGATCCATTAATGTTTCAAAGGTTTGGACTTGTTTTACAATTGATTCTGGTTGTAGGTGTTTTGTTTCCCCTTTTCTTTCGACAGCCCTCATCTCTTTGTTTTACATATTTCAGGATACAGTACTAATCATTCTTTTAATTTAGAAAATAATATAGCAATAGGTGAGTTTATCCACATCAGTTGGTAATTAGCTATGATTTTGTCTTGTCTAGATTTACATTGGAGATTTGCCTTCAGGGCCAAAAGGTTATCTTTCAGTTGATGAGAGTATTAATCCTGATGTCATCTTGACAAGGCCCTCTTACAAAGCTAACTTGTCTTCTCCTGATCTAAAAATGTCTTTGCCACAAAGTTATCAGGTATGTATCTAATGGTCAATATTTGACGCTCCAATTTGTATTACTTCAATGATCTCAATCAGCTGTTTGGTGTTTTCCCGTTTTGCTTAAGGTACAGATTTCACTGATGGAATGTGAAATATCCCATGACACGAGCATAAGTGATCATCACGAGAAGGATCAAAGGAAGGAATGCGATAATAAATCAACAGGTGTGGTTACTTCTCTTATATATCAATATATTGCTGTAATAATTGTAGAATGAGCTGCAACCCTTGTTCAAATAAATAATTGTAAATATCTGTTTAATTTCTTCAGATGCTGCTGCTTGTCTGTCAAGGTCACATGTCTTGGATCTGATAGATCAAGGTGAAAGTTGTGGCTGTGACACAAAAATTGAGAAGGATAAGGTAAACAACGCTTCTTTTTGTAAAAACCTGGAATAATACTTGCCAATCAATCAAAGCCTTAATCCCATAAGTGGAGTAGATCTGGAATAATACTTGTGCATTCTGTAAAAGATACCATGTCATTTAGTCATTGTTCCTCTTCTTTTGTAGGAAAATGTGGCAAGTGTTCCGGGCAGCAATTTTAACTCTGAGCTGGAAACGAAGGAAGCTTCTCATTCAAAATCTTCAAAAGCTGCAAGGCCTAAAAGGTAAACAACTTGACATATTTCATCATTATTTCGCCTTCATGTAAACATTATTTGATATTTCATTTGTTCCTTTCCTATCTTGTTTGCCAATATCGCTCTTTCTTATTTTTTTTTACCTTCTTGGTGATGATATGTGATCATTAGGCGTCTTATGCCAGCTTCATCATTATTGTTGAGGGATGCTAGCAGCGTAGATGTTACAGATGAGATTGAAAAGCTCAAGGTATTATTTTTTTTTCCCGTTAAATAATTTTCTGAATCGCACACTGAAATGCTTAGAGTAGGAATAGGATGTCTCATTGTGGCTTGTAATGCTGTCTTGCATCTTGTAATTATTTTCATTGCAAATTCCATGAGATACTTGTTGCAAATTTATGTGGCTTGTGGCCTCAGCTCCTTACCTTAGTGCTCAGAGATGTTCGATGAGTTAAAGATTCATCATAATCAACAGAAAATACTAAAAGCCCAACGATGTTTACAATTTCAAACATAATAGATGCCCTGTGAGTCAACATAAAGTTAAGTCAATGTTTGAGATTTCAAGAAGTCATGTCCTCTCTGTCAGAAAGCTTGTCCGGTTGCCTTAAACCATATATGATGATTTACTTGGAGAATATATGCTAGGTTGTTGTTCATGAAAGCTTTTGTATGGTAGTCTCAGATAATTCTGTTCCGATATTGTCGTGAGTTGTGCTCCGTTTACATTGTTTTTGGATATCAGTAGTAAATGGAAGGGGAGGGGAGAGGGGAGGGAAGAGGGGAGGGGAGGGAAGTAGAAGGGAAGGAATCTTTCTGAATCTTTTCAAATTTAGAATTGGGGTTTTGGATTGTCCACAGAAGAAGGATGATGCATCCCTCCATTTCCCTTCCGTTCTCTTTCTCCATTCCATTTTCAAATTACTCATCTAAACACTGTATTAGTCTCTATTTAACCTGCCATATTGCATTGTTAGTCAAAGTTTTGACTTCAAATAAGTTCTTTGTGCTTGTGCTCCCATGCTCCTTGAGTCCTTGAACAGTTGAGTTTCCATAATGCTACCAATTTCCCGGTCTTCTTGAAAATTTTTAAAAGTACAGTTGTAAGGTGGGTGAGATGAAATCATAAATAATTATATTAGACATTTAGACTAGCATCTAGCTCCAGCAGTATCAGAGGTGCATGCCATGCCTTGAAAATTTCCAAAATGCTGTTGCTTATGTTATATTGTTATTGTTTTAAATCTAAATGTGCCCTTATCTTTACTGAATCATGAACAACTTGTCGGTCCTATGTAATAACTAATAAGTATGGCTGCCTTTGCAGGGAGGTAGAGGTGGACGAAAGCTGGTTGAAGATGACCATAAAAGAACCACGGGTAGTGCCTCTCTTATGCGATTGCTGAAGAATCATCTACCTCGATAGCCATTGCTCAATCTCTTAGAGATGTTGGGTAAGCTTGTAAAGATTGAGCTATCATTTTTTTTTTTTTTTTTTTTTTTAATTGTGCTCCATAGTGGATATGGAAGTGTTTATTAAAGATAGTCCACATCACATGTAACCCTGCAAATGACTTGTATATACATATATCATCGTACTAATTTTTAGCTTGTAATAGAGGACTAGTAGATTAATTTTGTTGTCAATTTCTTTTGGCAGAAATGTTCAAATTATCAGATTGTAAAGCCAATATACGAAATACATAATATCGTTTTCGTAATACTCCATATCTGGTTGATCAGTGTTTGGAAAGCAAAAGTGGAAACTTAATGTTACAAGTTTATGGGAGAGCGAGATCTAATGTTATGAGTTTGCTGTAATTCTGTTATGTTTGGCATAAGTTAAGTTAATTGTTACAAGCCGGAAAACAATATCACAATGAAATACGGAGTAGTATTATGGTTGTGACTCTTGTGAGCATGTCGGACTAGGAAGTGTTCTCTTCACCCTAGGGCTCGTGAAGATTGAGGAAAATGTGGTGTAAGGCCCTATGCACTACACCTTACAAAAATAATGCGTGTATTCAGTAAAAATAAGTTTAATAAAATTAATTTCATTTCAATAAAATCAATAATTTTAAAGAAGTGATATAATAGAAATTTAGTAAAAATAATTTTAGTTTAGCAAAAATAAGGTGAAGAGAACGGGGCCTAAAAAATTATTAGAGTTAGATTAGACTTTAACCTAGTTACGTGGAATGGGTTAATTTGTATAGTTCCCTATACTATGAGGATAATATATTACTCAGACAACTCTAGAGCGCAAATTTTAAGATGCACCATGGTGCTTATAAAAATAGGTGCACTACGCCTATATTATTGAACATTTAGTAAATAAATCTGAACAATTGCAAAATTTGAACATCGAAAATTTTGAACATTTAGTTAAAAAATCTGAACAATTGCGAATTTTGAACATTTAGTAAAAATATTTGAACATCGTAAATTTTGAACGTTTCGTAAAAAAATTTTGAATAATCGCAATGCACCATGCCTATATTTTTGAACATTTAGCAAAAAAAAATGAAAATAACAAATTTTGAACATTTAGTAAAAAAAACGGAACAATCGCAAATTTTGAATCATTACGAGTCAGACAAATTTTGAAAGAAGTTTGTCTGACTCATAATAATTCAATAGTTTGTAATATATAAACTGAGCATTTACTGTATACAAAATGAACATTTCTTTATAAAGTATGAGCATAAAAATCGCATGTTTATGTTCAATTTTTGTGACATTATCATATTGTTTTTACTAAATGTTCATTTTTTTGTAAAATGTTCAATTTTTTTTATTAAATGTTCTAGGTGCACCATGGTGCACAATTGGGGTAACAATTCATTTGGTAACTATTCTCCCAAAATAAAGCCCAACCCATTCCTCATCTCTCTTCTTTTACCTCTGGCATTGATATGTCCATTTTATATAGTATTTTACCCTCGTCTCTTGGTCATAATTAGTAGTGTTTTTGGCTCCTTAGAGCCACTTTAATTACAAATTGGTGTTTTCTAGTGTTTTCGTAGTTTTGGTTGAGTTTTGTAGGAAATTGCACTTTCAAAGCATTTTCCTGGGAGCAACTACGAGCATTGGAGATGCACAACCATCCTTCATAGCCCAAGGCCGGTTAGAGCCATCGAACCGGTGATTAAGGGCTCGGTATTTGAGATTCCGAGGCAATTGGACTGAGTATTCAAGACCCAAGGAGGATATTTGGTTTGGGCCGGAATTACGAGCCCAAACGAGGAGTCCATTGTGCCCCAAGTGGCCTTGCCCGGCCAAGAGAGCTCCCGTCCGAAGGCGCGCCCGACCGGGCGGGGCGGAGTAATTGTAGTAGCAGCCGACGCCCAAAGTCGCGTCCGGCCGGGCGCGAGAGATGCACTTGATAGCAAAAAGGCGGGCTCGATCGGGCGGTGCCTCGCCCGATCGGGCGCGTGTCAACATTTGGAGTTTTTTTAGCTTCGTTAAGTTTGTTTTAGTTTAGGATTCTTGCTTAATATAAATACTTTTCCGTTAAGCAGGTTTAGTATTCTTTTTTACACTTCCTTATTCTCTCTTTAATTTTGTAATTCTTTCTCTTAGACTTTCTCTCTCTACTTAGCTTATTTTCTCTCTCTACACTTTATACTTTGTCCTTTACTCAACTCTTAATTCCGATTACTTTGGTAACGATTTCTTTTCTCTTAATCTCAGTTATTTATTTTATTCCTTCGATCATGTCTTGTTTTATTGCTTTGATTAGTTTAGATTTAATTATGTGTGAGTAGTTTTCTTTCTAGGGTTTGTGGGGATCCATAAATAATATGAAGGGGTAATTTATTGTTGTTGATTGTCAATTCTAGATTAATTTCCTATTGATTGATTTAATGCTCTGTGACTAGATTAGGCCTGATCTTTTATGCATGAGTTTGACAATATTGATTCGTGATTCGAGAGATGAGAATTGATGTTTAGGTCTAGTTTCAATAGGCGGATTAATTTATAAATGGTTAAGTCGAGATTCGAGAGATCGATGAGATTTAATGCCGGTAAATTAACTCTGTGATTGTAACACGTAGTGAAAGCCCTTTATGATCTGGTTAATTGATGTATTGATGATTGATTGTTATGTTTTACCCTGGAATGTTATTTATTGGTGAACCTATGCCCTAGGTCTTTTATTCATTGATTTTCTTCCTATTTTTATTCTTTCCCACTTTTATTCTTAGTAGTTTAGTTATCCTTTGATTACAGTATTTTGGTTACTTAATAATCTGGATTATAATAACTAATTAGGAATAGAAAGACCAGTTTCCCTGTGGATTCGACCCTACTTTCCAATCTGCATTAGTTAGAGGATTTAGGAATTACTTTTGATTAGGTGATACGACTTTAGCCTGTCAGGCATTAAAGCCCAACCCATTCACAAGTGCTTCTCGTCTTTCGTCCATGACAATAATATGCAAGCTTCCAAGAGTACCTTATAAATTTCAAATATAATATGACTATTGACTGTTGACCATATGAGTTTTTTTTGTTCGAACTTGAACGTATATACTCGTTTTGTTTTCTTGAGTTCTACTACTCAATTACTCTAGCTACAATAATCCAAGGTTAAGTGAAAATGGAAACCATGTATGTGATTACTTATGCTTTAAAGAGAAGAGAGATATATAAGGGATTTATTTAATATAACTAGATTAGTGCTCGTGTGATGCATGAATTTAATCAAATATTTTGCGTAAATTAAAGTTGTATATTATTAATATAGTTTTAAAATCTTTAATTAAATGGTAGTATGTAGGAAGTAGATAAGAAAAACAAACAAAATAGGAAAGCGATAGGATGAGATGAGATTAGATATTTGAAAAAGATTTTAGCTCGATTGTCAAAGTGATTTTGCGATCTTTGCATCTCATTTGATTACCCAAAAAATAACCAAATAGGAAATCATTGTAACATCTAAAAGATTCTTTCCTTTGAAATACATGTTTTGCCCTTTTTAAAATATAAAATAGGAAAATCTAAGACATTACCGCCGCCGTGAAAATAACTAAGACAATTATCAAAGACGCACAACAGAAGACTGTCTTTAAAACCATTCAAAACAAGTCAACTTAAAAATTAAACCAAAAGAAATTAAAGTCAAACCATAGTCCAATGAAGTCAACCTACAACTTGGAACCATTGTAGGCCCTTATTAAATTCAATCAAATACTTGAAAACCTTTGTGTTAGTCTCACGAACATAATAAAATAAATAATATTCAAAGCATTAAAACACATTATATTCTTATGGAAACTAAACATGATCCACTCTTCAGTCATGCCCATCATGATGCTTTATCACCTGAAAAACTCCTCTTTACTTGTCCCCCACTACTCGCCATTAGAAATGGGTTGTCGTAGCGCCAAGGTCAAGACAAGGTCAAACAAACACACGAACACACAATCAGCAAAGCTGAGTACATAGGTGTAGTTAAAACAAACTAACATGCTTTCATCCTACCATCACACAACTTACCTTGCTGCACATGTTTACAAGCATACATCATACAACATGATCATTCAACAAATACCTAATTTATTTATTTTGCTTGATTACGCATCAAACGGGTTTTCCCCTAACCTACCCCAATAAAGGGGTACTAACACAGGAGCTAACCGTGCTAGTATAAAAGAACCACTCGTAAGTGGTGAATTCCTGTGCATAAATAAAAAGGAATATACAGCGTCCTGTACTTCCAGTCGAAGTTATGGTCAAATATAATGTCGCATAACTCCCCCCATATGTTCATACTCGAGATATATATGTTCCAAGAGTTTTGGTGTGTAATCTCTCTCATTTTACGTTGTTACATATTTTTAGACTTGGTGATGACTCACAAACCATAACAAACCAATCATTAAGATCATTCAAGCAATCAAACATACCAATTTAATTCTTGAATAATTAGTGACCACATAATCTTAAATGGTGAACCCTTTTCAATCTACCTCGGTGTTAAAGACACCTTAAACGCATAATGCGCCACAAATCATATCCCTTTGTGTTAGAAACACCTTAAGTGCATTTAGGCACCAAAATGTAATTTAACCCTCGTGTACATAGACACTTAAATAGCTCTTTCCTCATGCTTATAGCATCAATAAAAATTATATGAACCATAATAAAATTTCCTTTCAATATTCCAAACCAAATTAAACATGTAGTTTAATTAAACATGTCTTCAATCATGCTAATTAATTCCAATCATCAATTCACCACAAATAATCCATACTTCACAATTCAATCACCAATATTAAACCAATCAACAATTCCAATAAATCCTATCATGATACTAATTGGAATTAAAAATCAAAGCCTAGCATGCTTCTATATATTCAAATTATTGCTAAGTATACGAACGTGCCTTAAATATGATCTCAAAATCGCCACAACTACAAGAAATCACTTACATGGAAATCTCCTACAATCCAAAATTACAAAGAGACATTAATATCTACTGCATACAAATTTCTAACAATATACACACTCCTTTAAAATAAGCTGAAATTTAATTTAAAAACCCTTACTTTTATTCCCAATTAATGGGTAGTTGAAAATCATTTCAAGAAAATTAATTATAGCTTATATACAAAAACTCTAGCTTTATTAAATCATCTAAAATTGATGTAATTATGTTTTAAAACACCCACTACAAGAAAAATGTCTTTTCGTAGCGATTATTTCGTACCGATTGTACATTCACTACAATATGCAAGTATGTTTGTGAAATAATTAAGGAAGTCATATCACTTTACAATCGCCATGGTTTTCCCATATAAAATCGATACGGAAAACATAATAATTCATATCCACTCTATTTTTACACATTTATATAAT